TTTACGATATACCATACCATATGATGTCATTCTCACCAGTAAAATGTGAGGTGGGCTGGAGTGGGGTCTGTGTCCAAAGTAGCCATTGCCCGGGCACCGGCTGGGCATCAGTCTGCTGGTGGCAGGTGGTGAGTCATTGCCTTTGCATCACTACTTCTTTTTTTATTCTTCACTTACTAAACTTGAGCCACTTTTTTTCCCCCTCGCTTTAGCCCTTCCGATTCTCTCCCTGTGCTGCTGTGGGGAGCGATTGAGTGACAGGGTGGGGGCTTCCCTGCCAGCCAGGGACAACCCACCGCAGCCTCAAGCTGTTGTAGGCCATGGGCGTGCATTTAGAAAGCATCACTATATGCTTGCTCTATTCTTCTGGTCTGCTTTATCAGCCACATGTTTATCTGTTTTATTTATTATCAAAGCCAGGATACAGGCTATGTGAATAACTGGTCTTGCCCGGTACAGCCGTTAAATATTCTTATGTACTTACTCCAGTAATCACCTGTGTGGCATTGCTTGATTTCTGCCATTATTTCACAATTAATTTTCATGTGCTGGTAACTGGTTTTCAGTAGTGGCTGGAGTCAGGGCTAGATACTGACTCCAGGATCTACTGAGATCAGCTTTTCTTTATCTAGACAAACACATCTTCTTTATGAATGCCTCACAAGCTGCTCAAAGCCAAATTCAGAGGAGTTTTAACAAATTTACGGGAAGTTTTTAGCACAGTGCTTGTTTCAATGGAGTTTTACCCACAAAACGTACCTCCACTTAAACTGTAGCCAGCAGGGACACAGGTCATTACAGCAACAACATCCAGTCCCTTCAGTATAACTCTGTTTTCCATTTCATTTTATAGCTATGGTCATGTACATGTTCATCTGCTTTTCCTCATTCACAAGATTATTCTCCATACGGGATGGGCATCTTTTGAACTGTCAAATACGTGCTTACCTATGCACTGGTTTTCTGTAGCTTTTGATATTCACCATGGCCAACTTGGTGGTGTTCTCCTTTGATGACAGGCAGCAAGGTGCCAATCTGGAAGAAAACATTTGACCCCAGATCTCTTTTCAGGTTTTCCGACTCTGGTTTCCAGCTGACATCAGAAGTGGGAAACAAATCTGGTTAGCTGTTAGGCTGGTCAGATTGTCCACTCCCACAACCTAAGGTTGTATCTAAAGCTGCTACACACAGCTGCTTGCCCTATCAATGAAAACCACCCTGGAAATAAGGGAGAGGAGAAGAATGGATAAATGACTTGTCTTCCCAGTGTGGATGTTAAGCCTGAAGAGACTTAACCCGCTGAGACAATGGCCAAGTTTGGTACTTAACTCTGGATGGGAATTTAGGGACATTATAGGACATTCTCCCACCATCCCTGCGTTTCCAGCAACCCCCTGAAGACTGAAGGTCTTACAGGACCACTCCCAAGGAAACTCCAGGATAGCTGGGAAGACGTGAGGCTGTCTCAAGGAAGACCAGCACCTGCCAGTCTGCACTGATGAGGTTCTGTAGCGAGACATCCATCAACTTGAAGCACGGGTATAATAAAGATATTGGACATAAGGATAACGCTTTTCTGAAGGCAGCCTTAAGCAGGCATACTCAGGGGACGTGCCCATGCTGGAAGGGACTGGCCTTATCCTAACAGCAATATTTAGGCTGAGGTGATCAGGTACAGAAGATGTGGATAAGAGAAGTTATTTCTGGATACCTGACTCAGTCTATGGCTGGAACAAGACCTTCTCCACCTGTGCCTTTACTGCCTTAGGAGGTTGAAAGCAGGCAGAGAGTAGGTGGCTCTGAGACCTATAATGGATCCAAGACGGCAAATTTAATTGTGATGCTTGGATCTAGATTTGCACACGCAGAAGTGGACAGAGATTTATGGTCTCTCCTCCACAGGATGGGTCTGAATTTCAGTACCCTCTTCAAAGAAGAGGAAGTTAAAACTACAGTTGAATCTATGATTGTTCCAAAGAAGACATGAATAAACCCAAAACAGAGGTGGAAACAGCTACAGAGCAAAAACCCTATCAGTCTGCTGGAGTTTGGCACAGATAAACCACTTGAGGACTGAAAGCTAAGTATCTGTATGAGCCTTTAGAGAAGGACATCAATTGCTCCTATAATTGAAGAAGGCCCTAAATATTTCAGAGAAGGCAGCCAGAAGAAGAGCATGTGTGTGCCGTAGAAGACATACATGGAGAACTATCAACATAGGCTGGGGGTGGAGCAGGAAAAAGGGGAGACTAGCCATAGGCCTTGGAGGTCATATGGTGACCCCCAACTTTCCTACTTCTTCCTCAAGAAAGGAGTAATTGGGGGAGAGGCAAGAGGAGTCAGAGGGTAGAACACTGAAGTAAATCTCTTACCTCCTCATCCTCTAGCCTCTTGTCCTTACCTGGATTTACCAAGACAGCTTGAAAAGCAGTAAGACTGCCCAGCTGAGAAGCATTCTTGGCTGGCAAACAGCCTCTTAGACAAACTGCTGGCTGCTGCTTAGTTGGCAGTTTGAGGCACACTGCCCTGGAAAACTGGACTAAGGAAACTTTGAAAGCTTGGCATAGTTGTCACTCTTCTTCTGTGTGGAAAATGTATGCCAGAGCTTTTCTTTGGACAAGGACAAGGTAGTGACCTGGCACAAGGTACCTGCTTCATCCCCTCCTGGCATGCAAGAGAAAGAAGAAGCTGTAGACAGTTGAAAGTGGAAAAGACAAAAAAGGCACCTGGTTTCTAAATAGACTTTTGAATGTCTGGTGAGACAAAAGCTGAGGGAACCACCCATCTGGGCACAGACAAGCTACAGGCTTTCACAGGCATGGTGAGAAGATGCTAGGAGCAAATGCATCTCTCAAGTGATGGGTAGCAACTAGTAAAAATTTGCAACAATATTCTCACATCCAAGAGTAAGGGCCTTTAAAAAGATATCCAATAGATTTTTAAGAATAAATGTAGAGTGGCAAAATGGTGCTGCCTACAGTCCACTTAAAATTATAAAATGCTAGTGACTCGTATTTCATGATTTATGGACGACTCGCTTCTACTCTTATTGATGAAATTATTCATTAAAACAAAGCTCCAGCTAGATCAGCCTACTGGATTTACTCAATAATTTTGAGAAATGAGGTTTGGGTGTCTGCAGGAATTGGACTGGAAGTCCCTTTTTCCTGTTTAAAGAGAATAATATTTATAGCTTTAAATGCTGTGTCAATTTAAATGTTATAATGTTTCACAATCATGTATTTAAACACAGAAATCTGTTTATTTACCCAAACAAAACAGGAAATGATTCCAGCCCTCAGGTTTTGAATTCTCGTTTAAATATGTGAACATCAGTCCACAACTTAGAGATGTTTGTGTTATCTATGTACCTCCAAAATACTCATATTTCATAGGCTTTTTCACATTAATATTCACCAACAGTATCACAAAAGTTCTTTTTCTTTTACATAACTGTAAGCAACAGTAATTCTAGAAACACTAGAGAAAAAAAAGCATAGCAATGTCCACAGTTACAAGAAAAAGTGCACATTACTTGGTCACAATCACAGTCATTACTTGGAAAACTATATGTAACAAGTAGATATAAAATATCACTGATGCCTTAAACTCATTGTCAAAAACGGAATTACATAAAATTTTGTACATGAAATAAGGCAAATTTAGGAATGCACAAGAAACTTGTTATTCAACAAAAGCTAAACAACAGAACAGATAGTACAGTAAGCATAAACTAAAGTACTTTTTTCTATATACTTAAAAATAAGCCTGCCGTAGTGCACAAAGAAAACACCATTAATGTGTAATCAATATTATAAAATAAGAAATAGAGGGGTTGGGAAGAGTGGGGGAGGGGAGAGAAGAGTTTTATTATAGTTGCAGCTGCATCCATTTACAGTTTTGTACAGGTTTTAGCTAGGCCTGGGAGTTACACAAATCATACCAGAAGCGTCAATGATGACCTTCCTCTGTTAGAATTTTGTTTAAATTAAGGAAAACAAAATAAATACACACAAGAGTGCAAATTTTCAGATTGTCACTTGCAACCTCTTAACATTCATCATCTACATCCAATCACAACTAGAGGGACTTGTATAGGACAGCAGCAGTGATCATGGAGTTAGATGAGCTCACTGTAAGAAATCAATTTATCTTTTTTTTTTTTTTTTCTCAATGATATGTCTTTTTTAAAAAACCCTCAACTCTTTATTAATTGCTAATAAAGCTGCAATATATTACAGAATGGAGTTGAGAATGGTATGAATGCAGGAAATGCATGCTTCCTTTGGAAGGTATTCCATAGATGACAATTTACAGTACGCGGGGGAAGAATTATCCAGCATCAAGAGTTACTCGTTGTAGAAAGAATATGAAGTTGGGGAGAAGGGCACGGTCAGGGGTTCAAGAGAGGAAGGGGGGACTTACAATAGCTCCTCAAAACATTTTCAGGACCAGTGAAAAAGTTTACCAAAGTAAAAATGAAAAATCTTGAATGAAAACAAAAATCTTTTGTTTTGTTTTTTATAAAAATTACATTTTTTTAAAATACAAGATCCTTTTAATTGCAATTGTGCCCTGCAGCAACAGGACATTTGGCAACGATTTGCCATATACTGCAGCTTTAAGTCCAATGAGTCAGTATCACATTCCACTAATATTGCACTTGGATCTTGAACCATTTTTTTTAAACCATCACAGCATCTTCTGTTTCCTCCACTTGTTAGAACGAGTTAATTTCTAGCCACTTTTTCGATATTTATGCTGACACACTAAAACAAAAGCAATAGGCTGGACACAGTAAAGTACCTCGGAAATACCAGAGGTCGAAGTTCACTTGAAGCACCTTAACACATCACTTTATGGATCAAGAACAGTGTGGCATTATGGTAATTAACTCTCCTAAAAGACTGTGCAGTAATTGAAGTGTGTGCTCTGGGAAATCAAAATGTCATTAGTGGAAACTCTGAGATAAGACCAGGCCAGTGTGAAGGTCACATGACTCAGTTCTGCTGCAAAATAAGGTTTTCCAGTTCATCTGCAGAACGCAATAAAAATGCGGCTGATTCTCGATACCCTGCCACAAGCTGCCTCACTGCATTTATTTCAGTTGGACTCAGCTGGGGTCTAGAGCTGGAACTACTGGAGGATCCAGAGCTGGTTGCTAACTGCCTCTTCATACTGAGATCTGTTGGACCTGCAGATTAGGAAAGAAAAGACAAGAAGCTTCACATCCGCTGCCAGAGACGTTTCACAGGTTTGCAGCTACAAATGCAGAGCAGCAAAATCTGCTCTCAGCTGAGTGAAAGTGAGAAGCAGCAGAAACAAGCAAGAACTGTTCAGTTACCAGTTGCCTTGACAGGAACCACAGCAATTTATATTTATATACGACAGTCACCCTTGAAGTTCTACTTACGTAACAGGAGGGGCAAGTCCACTGCCAGCAGAAAATCAGCTGCTGGGGGGTATCCCAACAGTGCAAGCCACTTGCACCCCAACACTGCCCTGGGATCCGATGCTGGTGAGCAGGCAGAAGGTTCATCTCCTGTGCCTCCCCCAGCTCCAGCTGCCATCGTAGGCTTCATGGCAATCTGCACACTTGCAGTTTTTATCACGGAGTATCAAACTTATGTTGTCTAGATATCTATTTTCACGTTTTATGCTTCAACCAGCATGCAGCCAGATTGCAAATCCCTTACAGACGTAGATAAACGGTCATTCACTTGACTAGCCCTGGCGCCATGTGATCACTTATATAAATAGCTGGTCATGAATGAGATTAGGCTGGTGACAATCTGGCTGCTACAGTGAGGAGTACACGATCATCTGTGGGGGCTGCACACAGCTGGCAATATACTGCAAGGATCTTGTAAGGCCTGAACGCTGACAAGAGAATCTGCAGCAATCACCATGTTGCGTTGGCAGCTTATACCAATATGCTTAGCACTTTTCATCAAAGAATCTTCTCAAGACCATGTACGCCGCATGCAGAAGACAGCATTCCTGAGGGCAGTCTGCAAGTTACCGCCATCGGCAAAACCATCTGCTGTCATGAAGTTCGGCTTTGTGTAGAATTTCCCTGGTTGTTTGACCATAGTTATTAATCAGCTAAGATGTACGGTGCTTTGATGAGATGTTCACGTTTTCCACTTAACACAATACATTTTTTCTTCCTGGAGTGTAAATTTGGACAGGTAGAATTGGGCTGAGGACTTTTTTAAACATAGAAGGATACAGAGGGCAAGTATAGCTATCAACCAGTTTATTATGTGCAAATCTGGAAAAATACTGCTCATTCATTTTGACAGTGTAGCAAATCTATACTTAAGATCAGACTAGCCTGATCTTAATCTTAATAGTCTCCTGGAAATTAGGATTAAGTTATCCAAAGCAATGTATCTTGCTTTCCTATGAGAAAAATGTCACTGTTCAATTTCATCTGGACAACGTATGTCAATGCCAAGGCTTTCTCAGCATTGGCTCACTGGATGGACCTTGCTTCCTAAAAGACTGGAATAATTTTAAAATTTAGCCTATTCAACTGTAGAATACAGAACACACCAGTTCATACTGTAGAGGTCCTCCTAAATAATCCCACCAGAATCACAAGATTCAAAACCAGACTCACTATCTTAAGCACTAATGGAAAGAGATGTACTGGTTTCCAGAAGCTGAAGATGTGGTCACAAACCTTTCTTATTTTTCTTTCTTCTATGTTTATGCAGAGATACAGCTGAGACCACAAAGAATGGGGAGATTGCCATGTCCCCGCACTCACTGAAGTTAACGAAAATCTCCCCTCGAGTGAATGAAAGCAGAGCTGGGATGATGAAAAGAAACTACTCAAACAGAAAGGGTCCTATTAGATCTTATTTCCTACTATGCAACTAGCATGAACAGCACTTAGCCTTACGACTGTATTATCCAGTTTTACACCGGCATAAATGACTTTTAAATGACTTCCAGTGTACAAAAGATAAATAAAAGGACAATTAGCTCAGTGACTTTGTTTCAGCGTGACCACGCACTGCAGGGAAACGATCACAGTGTGAAGAAGCTCAGAGGATATTTCTAAGTAAAATCTTAACCCAGCACAGCAAAGAAGGGTATACAAATCATAAAGGCAGCTGGACTGAGTGGTTGTAAGAAGCCATTAAAGACTTCTATATTTATTGAGGTGGTAGTGAAAAAGCTGCCACTGACATATTGAGGGCATTGAGCTCCATATGAACCTACTTTAACTTTTATGTTCTTTCCTTGACTCTTATTCGTGTCACAGCCAAAACCACACACACACACAATATAGGGCAGGACAGAGCTTCTGTGGCAGAGCACGTCTTTTTCTGAAACGAAACTGAAGGGCTTTTTTCATTGGTAATCCACATTTTTAAGTGACTGAATAGGATATTACGTTTATTTCACTCATAAGTAGAAAATACATAGAAATATGCTTGCTTACACCTCTGAGGTTTTCCTTACAAAAACTGATGACACAAAGTAAAAGCACTGCTCTGAAAGGGAAACTAAGGGAAGACCAGATGTCCAGCATGCATAAATCAGTGTAACTCCTCACGAGTCTATAGGGTCGCAGTGATTTACACAAACTGAAGATCTGGCCCTGTATTCCTAGATGTCCAGATTAACTATCATGAGAAAAGTTTTTTAACTCTTCAGAATATATATCTTTGAATCCCTGAAGGTACTGGAAATAAAGTTTTGTGCAAGCGCAAATCTGCAGTCTGCATACACAAGGAACCATCAGGACCCAGAACTCCTCTTGGTCTGGGACACTTCTGTTGTGTACAAAGTTCTTGTATACAAAGGAAATAAGAAATCTCGGATTTTAACTTACCCCAGCTACTTCAAACTGCTTGATATTTTTTATTATTTCTATATACTAGGAAAACAGGATTTTACTTCACTCCTGCCTTGTACCTAACAAGTCACAGTGCTGTCCTCCTTCCCCTCAAAGAAAATCCCCCTGAGCAAAAAGGCAAAGAAATCCACACACAAAGAAAAGTGTTCATGGCTATGGTTTCAGGACAGTGAGTACACCCGTGCCTTTTCAGGAAGGGAAGCTGCATGTGCTGGCAGACAGCTGAGCAGAAAGAGAAGAAGCCATGCTTGATGCGGGGATAAGGATTTTAGTTCTTCTTTCAGTTATGTTCTGTGACCCCTACACCTCACGTCCAAAGCTTGCCTATGACAGCCCAAGCTTTATATCTGGGAGAAGACCTCACTCAGAGACTAGCCCCAGGATGTATTATGCTGGTCTCAGCTTTTCATAGCTATGATAGACATTCACTGGCAGTATTACTGATTCTTAAAGGTTGTCCAGGCTGCCATATGCTAAAAATACTACAACTTATCTGTAGCCTCATCAGTCATACCTGGTCATTCAGAAAATAAGGAATAAATGCATCTTATTCTTATAGTGTAGATTTTTCCTGTGTAATTTTATGCAAATCAGCTATTGAAACACGGGAACCTAAATCTTACTCAGAAATATCCACCACATTTTTTTAACCAGACAAATAAATCACAGACATTCTGAAGGCTTAAAATAGCTGGTTAAGGTAGACACTTCATGCACCTCTGTCTCCAGAAGCCATCATTACAGATGACTAAATCTGGAGAAAGCTGAACGGCTTCACCACCATTTCTTTTAATAACTATCCTTACTTTAAATAGAACTATTTCCTTAGTGTACTTAACATTATTTATTAAGCTGCCAGTCTTCACAGGAACAAGGAAGTGTACCCTTATACAGAGGGAAATCTGAATATTTTTGCAATGAATTTTGCAGTGCCAGGTTCCTCCAAGGTGATACTGCACATTTTAGCATACTGCTTCCTATCCTGGAGTACTTCAGGACAATTAAAAACCTTGATTGCAAACATTACCAGGTTCCACAATGTCTGTATGTTCGAGCAAAGATTAAGCATATATCGCAGAGATGAAGACAGGATATCTATTTTTATTTATTTATTTCTCTTAGTGCATACTGTTATAACTCCCAATTGTCACCTCCCATGTTTTTATAACAGCAGTGGGTTAAACAAATTGCTGAGACAGATCCTTTCTTTTATATCCTTTCAGAAGACTGAAGTATTGTTCCTCTGCTTCTTGCCAAGGCCACCTGGTTGACACTTTTAACATGAGAATATTTTTGATTTACCACCTCAGTCCAGTTACATAGACCTAATTTCCCCTGTGAGGTGAAATTGTTCTTGTTGGAACCACATCAAGCTGAATATGCGAACTCTGAAAACCCACTCTTCGTGTGCTAGACAATCATTTATCAAATTAGCTGCTAGGAATACCTGCTATTAAATACACTGAGGGACAAATGGCTTTTCTGTAAATTGCAAGACTTAAATGGAACTAGTTATTGCCTCATGCACTACTCATTAGCAACATGATTTATATGAAATTCCAAAATATGGGTCAGATGTAGATGTGCTGTTACTGATTGCTTAGACACTATCAACTGTCTCAGCAAAAATCCCTTAAGAATTGCATGCTGTCACTCGGTAGCTACCAATCTTATAATTAACAACTACTGAAAGAATAATAAATGTGTCAATGACTCTCAGAATGGTTATCACTATTGGAGATAATAATTTAGAATAACAAAAATAATTTTAAAAAGCCACATGTGCTTAAGCATCTATACTTCTACATTTTCATTAATAGTAAAGCAACCTTTTTCATCTGTGAAGATGTAAAAAGCAGTGGCACTTATTTATAGAAAAATACATTTGCCCATGCTTTGAAATCTCTCTTGTGTATCTTTTCTATTGCACCTATTCTCCTTTCCCCTTTTTTTCCCCATGAGTGGCTTTAGAAGTGAGTACATACTAGGTTCTCATATACTCCAATAAAACTAAATAGAAAAAACTATCGAAGTATGCTACTTTTTCCAAATCAGATGTATTTATTATTGCAAGAATGTTTTATTGTGATATTATGCACCTGTCAATGTTTCTTTTCCTCCTGCCTTCAAACAGAGAGCAGATGTGCCTAAAACTATTGTTTCAAGTGCCGGGAGATCTCAGATCAAGAAAACGGGGACTAATGAATTGGACCTTTTAAGCTTCTTTCTCCCTTCTACACCTTTCCCTCTGGAAAACATACCTTCAGCTAGTTTAGGCAGCAGAAAAAAACTACTGCGTTGCCTGAGGAGAGAGATGTGAA